ACCTCCAGCCCGCCGCAGGGCTCGGCCCGCCGCCGCCACTGCGACCGCCACCTCCATCCTGGGCTCCCCAAGGCCCCGATTCACTAACGCCGCTTCCGCAGGGCGCCGGCGCCGGCGCGAAGGCCGCCTCCGCCCCCCGGGGGACGCTGCGTCCTTTACGTAAACCCCACTCCGCCGCCAGCGGTGACCATGGCGACGGTCGTGGGGCGGCAGCGCCCCCTGGTGCCAGGGAGGGGGAGAGGCGCGGAGGCCCCAGCAAGCCCAGTCTCCTCGCGGGCGCCCGCCCCGTGCGCGCGTGGGGGCGGTGGGCGCCGACTCGGGCCGCGGCGGGGGCTCTGTGGGCGACCGGGAGGGGCAGGCCGGGCCGCGCTGCAGGCGGGGAAGGGGGCCTCCCGGGTTCCCCTCCTTCAGGCCCCGCGTGACCGGGTTTAGCGTGGGAGAAGCAAAGAAGCAGTAGGATCAGTGGAAAACTGGTTCATTTGGGGGGAGGAAGGAGAAATGGGTTCCACCTCCTCGAGTGATTGAGTTCTTCTTTAGGGGGATCGAACACATCGTCATCTGGGTCCTCCCCCTACTCTCACCCCTACAGTGCCCAGCGTGGTGCCGGGAAGCCCAGGGGCCACCGGGTCAATTTAGAATTCCTGGTAAATGAAGACAATCACCCTTCCATTTCTGCCTCACATAGGCCCGTTCATTCATTCAGGGTTTAAGTCACTTGACACGCCTTCCTGAAGAGCTGCTCGAGCGGGGAGCGCTACCGACCCTGGTAGACTTGTGCTGGACTGGTGGATGGGGGTACAAGGGAGGAACCCAGGTCCTGCGTGCAAACGGCTCAGTCTACCTGGCTGCTCATTAGCATACAGGGTGGGGGGGCGTGCAGCCTTGGAGGGAGCCTCATTCAGCAGCAGTGTGGGAGGGACTGGGGTCTGGAGGACATGATCACCCAGCTGGGGCTCTCAGGTCCAGTGGAAGTCCATCAGAGGCAGAGCTTCAGCAAGGAAGTGACTCTCAAATATTTCCTGGACCCTGTTCTCATCCCAAGAAAACAGGATGTTGAGCAGCCCTGGGTCAGGCATAAGGAGCCATGTGTTACGGGGGCTGATTGAAGTGGAGCCTCAGCCTGAAAGTGACCTGGACATTTGAATTTAAAGTGAGGCTGAATCCAGAGCAGCCTTCCTTCTGTGCAGGCAGGTGGAAGCTACTTCTGGAAGGAGTTCTGTTACCTGTGGTTATTTTGAAGGCCAACTCCAGTTTAGGTGAAAAGAAAATTGGGGACAGGAGAAGGACAAATTGTGAGTGGGGTACTTCAGGGGATTCAAGAAAGAGTAGAGGCCTTCCAACCCCGGGGGGGGGCAGGGGCCCTGGTAGACTTTAAGGGCTGACTGTAGGTGTAGAAGCTTCTGGAACATCTTTTTACACCATTGCAATTAATCAGAATCAGAACTGCCAAACTGAATGTCTCTTGGCCCAAAGTTCTAGATACCCAGAAGAAAGCATCTTACTGGTCCCGCTTAGGTCACAGGGGGTGGGGGGGTAAAGGGGGTGGGAGGGGACGACATTCAGACAAGTCAGCTCATTCTCCCATCACTCAGAGAAAGTCACAGAAGATGAGAATCCAGCCACTTTAAAGACTGTCTACTTTTTTCCACCCTTAAGTTGCCCTGCAGGTGTGCACACGCACACACACACACACACACCCTTCTTTCTGTCCATCAGAAGTTGTCCTTGCCTAACAAGCACCGTGTTCCAGTAGCCCACGTTCAGCCAGTTCTGGACTTGATATCCCCAAGTAGATCAAATCTACGACCTTTACGGTGCTAGCCTTTTCTCCTGACTTCTGTGGCCAGCCCTTCTGCGCGCTGGACACTGAATGAAAGGGCCCATTTAACCATCAACAACGCGTCCTTTGAACTCTGGCTCCTCAAAGCGTGGCCTCAGCACTGTGGAGGAGCCGGCTGGAAATGCAAAAGCTCAGGCCTGAGGGCCCAGCCTCTCACCAAGGTCCCCGGGTGGTCTGTAGGTGCGTGAAAGCTGGAGCACTACTCGCAGAAATATTGGGGGACAGAAAAGATGAAAAGCTGTTTTCATCGGGATCCTTCCTATTTAAAATAAAAAGGGGGATAGGCTCGTTGCTTCATTCTCAGCCACTCCAAGGAACCAGCAAAGATGCGCAGTAGAAGCTGCTGTCCTTATTTTTGCATCCGGTTGACCTCTTTCTTCTCATGACTTACTCCATGTTCCACTTGCTTCCTGCCCGCACCCCAATGTCCGGGTCCTTTGCCTGGTGAGCTCAATGCATCGAAGCATTGAGCTCAATTCATCTTTGAGGTGCTGCTGGCTTCCCTTACCACTGGGCACCCTGAGAGAGGACTACTCTGCGGGGCCCCTGGGACCCCCACGCCCCTCCTGTGCGTTCGTGTGTGTGTGTGTGTGCTCTGAGCCCCCAGACGGCCAGTGGCCATCACAGCTTCCCTTCAGCGTCCCCGCCAGCATCTGTGAGTGGGAACGGGCCCCTCCCATTCTAAAACCATCCGACAGCCCCGGCCCAGCGTCGCCTCACAGGAAGCAGACACTGGTGATGTGCCCATCACCAGCATCGCCACCAGCCCGGTCCCCAGGCCTGCGGAGGACACACCACGACAGGTGTCTGCTTCAGGGCCCTTCTTCCCCGGGGGCCTGGCCTGCTGCAGCTGCAGGGCGCACCCTGTCCACCCCAGCCGTCTGGTCTGGTCCTTCCCTCTGAGCCCCTCTGAAGGCCTTCAGGCCCGGTCTGCGAGTTTCGCCAGGTGTCTCTGGAGGCAGCCTTCAAGGTGGTGAGCTGCCAGCTGGGAAGGGGAACAGAGTGAGGGCAGCAACGGGCACACACCACAGACTGGTCCCTGCCCAGCAGCCGGGCTGCGTTCCCTCTGCCTACTGCCAAATTCCCACTCTGGCCTCAGTTTCCCTCTGGGCCTCAGAGGGGATAATAACATGGCTCCTCCTCCCAGGGGGCTGTGCGGATTAACTAATTAATGAGTGTGACATTGGCTGCTTCCACAAAGGGGCTGATTAAACGCTGAGTGTTGTTATTAGAGCGACGGAGGGTGTGTGACAGGCAGAGAGACTGGAGACAGATCTGCTCCCCTCGCCTCCTCCCCACCCCCTCCCTCCGTCTGCCCCACACTCTGCAAGCTGAATGTCTTGCAAGACAAAATCAAGATGATTTTTGGCACCCCCAAGACAGTGAAGAACTTTTGCACATTTTCCCTGAACTGGGATGTGAGTCACGGCCGAGCTTCACGGCGTAATGTCTCCGACAGCTGGTACAGCTGTGCCCTGCCCAGTCTCGGGCTCTCCGCAGCTGCAGAATGGGACTTATAGCCAGTGATTGCATCAGGGCAGAGCTTCCTGTCGCAAGACGCTTCCTGCAGAAAGGCAGTTGCTGAATTCCTGAGTGGGGCACCGAACCCACCTGGTGTGCCCGAGAACTGCGTGGTCCCCTGTCTGTCCAGTGGTCACCAATCTTCCCAGCCCGAGGGAGGCGAGGCCAAGGCGGCACCTGGCTGAGGCTGGGGGAATTCAAAGCATGCAGCGTTTTTAAAGTATAAAGTATCTGCTTATGGCCCAGTGAGATCCAATGACTGATTTCAGCTGGGACGCAGGGTGTAGGGTAACGGATGACATCACAGCTTTGGGGCACAGCGGCTGGGCTTAGCGTGTCCCCAGATGCAAACAGGCCCGTGAGGCCCCTGTGTTAGAAGTGAATGAGACTTTCCCAGCAGCGGGTATGAGATCACTGCCCACCCCTAGATCCTGGGTCGCCCACCCGAGTGTTATGAGGTGTTGGCTCCCACCCTGGTAGCATGATGGGGTGAGTGGGAAGGGATCGCTCAGCCCCCCACCAGGTAAATAAGTCTGCCTCTCACAGCCAAGGGGAATGTTGTTTGCCCAAACAGCACAACCTCAGCTTGCCTGGGGAGGCGAGAGACCTCCAGAGGACAAGCTGCAGACTCCCACAGGGAGAGAAATTAGCCAGTGCAAGGAGGTCCAGGGAACCCATGGGATTGGAGCCTGGGGCACCCCCAAGCAAGGTTCAGCCCTGTTCCCTCTGGAAACTGCTGCCTTGTTCTTTCTGCTAGAGGAGAAACAGCCGTGGGCCTGGGGGGTGCGGAGCTGGGGCCGAGGGCAAAATAGCAGGGTATTGGGACCGGGTCACCCAGAGATGAAAAGATCAGCCGCCCCTGGAAGGTGCCGAGGTCCTGAGCAGGAGTCAGCTTGTTCCTTCTCACCAGAGGGGAGCCCCCCAGCCCGCACTGTGTACCCGAGTAAGTGGCGTTTGCACTCAGAGTCTCGGCAGGTTCTGTGGCGGGTCGTGATGGTGGACATGGTGGAGGAGGTGGCGGTGATGATGCCTCAGGTGGAGCTGGTGAAAGCAGCTTCCAGGGGGGCTTCTGGGAGGTTTTTCCACTCCTGCTTCACCCTCCAATCACTTGGGGATCACCAGTGCTTTCGCTGTAATGCCCAGAGGATTGGGGGGATCCTTGCATCTCATTAAACCAGCCCATTTGTAAGTGTCTGCTCCCTGATGGGCATTAGCGTGGCTGGTTGTTCTCCTTGGCGCACTGGGGAGGTGCGGGCGTGTAAACACTAGCGTCAGGGGAAAGCCTGGGTGCTCACGGACTAGGGCGATCATCTGTATTTTGTGGACGCCTGAGAGTGTCCTCTTGAGATGCCTGGCCAGTCACCCGCCCACTCATTCAGGCAGAGTTCATGTCGCTGATACACTGAACTTGATGGGGACGTTGTTTTGGATTATTAGAGCAAGCCGAGTGGAATCACAGGGGTTCTTAAAAGTAGAAGAGAGACGGGCTCTCCCTGGTGGTGCAACTCCTTAAAGCACAGCATTAGGAAGCTCTCTGAAGCCGCTGCAGCCCGAGTTCGATCCCTGGCCCAGAGGTGACCACACGGCGCAGCAGACCTCCCCTGACCCGCCCGCTGCTCCCCTCAGCAGTGTACCTCGTAGATCTGCCTGTTCTGCTCCCCACTCTGTGTCTGGTGAACCCTGTCACCCACCACACCTCTGGCCTTTACCCCAGGAGGGAGGAGTGGAGAGGGGGAGAGACAGGAACACCAGCA